GAGGGGAGAGCTTCGCCGCGCTCACCGCCCGCCGTCTGCTCTTCTCTTCCAGAGCATCTCGCGCAGAACATCTCCAAGTCGCACATGGAAACGTGCCAGTACTTGCGAGAGGAGTTACAGCAGATAACGTGGCAGACTTTTCTGCAGGAAGAGATCGAGAACTATCAGAACAAGGTATAAAAGCATGCCAAATGACGGCATGCGGTTTTTTAAAGCATGGTATTTCCATAACATGCTGCAAAATTCACTTTTTCACTGCTTGGTGTTTACTATCAGGAATGTATATTTTTGTGTGTTTTCAAAAAAAAAAAAAAAACGCTCGAACCAGAAGCCGCCAGATGGTTAGGATAGCCTTTGCATTTGTGATTCGTACAGGCACAGGAGAAGGCAAAGCTGTACTCCTAAAATATCTCTCTCTGTAACTGAGAAACAAGGATAGGAAACCAGAGGAATTTTCCCAATCCTAACCAGCACGTTATTTTCTTTCCTTCACTTGTAATTTGGATCAGCAACAACAGAAAAAGTTGAAGCCACCAAGTTTTGTAATGTCCCGTGGTGTGTTTTGTTTTGAGCTTACGAACACAGAGCTCTGTCCGGTTCCCAGCCCTCGGTGCCGGGGATTCACTCTCCAGCTGTCCCTCGGCGTTTCGGTTCTACCTGTAGAACAGCAGCACGGTGCTGCCGTACCACCAGTGGGTACTGTAAGATTTAGTCGATGTTTGCATTTCCAGTGTGCCTTCCATCCACAAACTGCTCCCAAATGGCTACTCTAGGAAAACTGTCTTGGGAAGCACTATTAAGGCACACTGGCCCTTGACCATATTTTTTATTTTCCAGAAAAAAATATTTAACTTTTAGGAATATAATTTTTTCCACTCGTCAGGTAATTTCATTCTGAATTATTATCAACGTATGAAAAAATCGCTACTTGCATGCCGCCTTTACATTGTTAACGAGATGATCTTCATGTATGTGTATCTTCATATGTATCCTTATGAAGACGAGCTAGCTAGCTAATTTACGTTCAGTGCAAAATACAGAAGTCGATAGGAAAAATGTGATTATGCGCTGCTAGTGTAAACTGGCATCTTTCTGATGCAGCAAATAAAATTCCCACTGAAGTGACCAGAACCATTATATTTGACATTTTTGGCTTCTGAAATAAAAATACTCCAACTTGGATCTCTTCTGACATCACTGAAGAAGTCTTAACGCGTTTGCATTGTCCCTCATACAAACAACGCTTTGGCTTTGAGGTTAATTCTCCTTGTCTTATAAGCAGACTGTAGCCAGAAGTGCTGGAGAGAATTCACCCTGCTTTGTTTTTCAGCTCAGTTTTACTTTATGAATAATGGGCTTTCCAGACCTCTATTATTAATCTTTCAATTTTTCTTCTCTCTCAAACAGCAAAGGGAGGTAATGTGGCAGTTATGTGCAGTCAAAATAACAGAAGCTATACAGTATGTAGTGGAATTTGCCAAACGCATTGATGGCTTTATGGAACTGTGTCAAAACGATCAAATTGTGCTTTTAAAAGCAGGTATGTGGGTCAGTTTTAAGGTCTGCTTCTATTAGTTTTGACTGAGGAAGGTGTTACCTGTATACAGTGGTTGTACACGCATAAATACATATGTTGTACGATGATCCGTGAAGTAATACAAGGGAGAAACCTTAAAAATTGTCTGTGTGTTCGTTTGAAGTAATACGCCTTCTTAGTTACTCTGGGTAGAATGAGTTCAAGCATACGTATGACATTTTTCCATTATGAACAAAGGGAGCAATGAGATGGAAAAGTTGGACTCAGATTTTTTATTTTGGCTTACTAACAGTGAGTAACATATTTCAAGGTAAAAAACCAGATCGTTCGATGCAAGATGTTGTAGAAGTAACACAGTTTACAAATACTAGACAAAGTTGTCAAAGCTTCGTGAACATAAATCTAAATGAGCTGCTTTGACTTCAGAGACTTCATTAATCGAAATTATTAAGAGTTTATTAGCATTAACTAGCATTTTGCTTTAGCAAAAACTTCTACAGAGTTTCATGGGAATTCTTTTAATTCTACTAGCAAATCAAACTACACTGTTACACCACAGAAACCTACTACCCTACTCCACTGATACTGAATGCAGAGCATAGGAAATTTTTAAAGCCTAGCTTGCTCTTTGCAACTGAAGTCTCTACTTAAATAGTCAAACATACATTGTTTCTGTTTTAGGGTCTTTAGAGGTTGTGTTCATCAGAATGTGCCGTGCCTTTGACTCTCAGAACAACACAGTCTACTTTGATGGCAAGTATGCTAGCCCAGAGGTTTTCAAGTCCTTAGGTAAGGAAATGTCAAGTGTTGTACCTTCAAACAAACAAACAAAAACCAGAATAAAAATAGTAAGGTGGAAAAGCAAGGGGACAACTACTTTGAAAAATTCAGGCTATAGTATTCAGGCAAGAGTTCCAAAGCTCAAACTGCTTATTCTGTAAGCAGTCATACTGGCTCTGTTTGAGGCCAAGCTGGTTGCAGGAGTTAAAACAGCTTAACGCTATGCAGCAAAGGACTGTTGGTGTTGAAATTCAACACTTGCATCAGGGTAGAGCAGTTTGGACACACTTGTTCAGAACAGAAGCCCAGATTTCTTATCTAGTGTAACATGTTATATATCCTGTTGGAAAAGGCAGTGGATTTTAAGCTAATTTTGGATAGACTGGTGTTACTGCTTTGAAGATGTTAATAGTGTTTTAGAATATGCAAAGCCCAGTTATTTGCAGGTAAAATACTGTAAATCTTTTTGTTTGTTTGTTTTTTTTTTTTTTAATTAAACCACAGTTTATAATTTTGGATTTTTTTCCTGCATATTTTTGCTAATTTTCAAAAGATGCATTTCACTGGGTCTAGATTTGGGATGTAAGCCATTGTGGAGGGCAGTGAAAATACAGCAGCAGAGAAGGCCATACAGTCACTGAAGTATTCTCTGCCTTTCTAAAACACCTCAAGGTACAAGGTCTGAGTGCAAGCAATTCACAGAATGCAGTATCAGATGTGGGTTCCAATGAAACATAACTTTCATCTGTTACCAACTACATCCAGAAATTTAGGCTGGGTTGGGGCCAAGATCTGCAGAGAGCCCTCTTCCATCAGGTTGCAATCCCCTTCAAAGCCGGGCTCCACTTCCGCAAACTGCATAGCAGCATGTGTAACAGCAGCAGTAACCTGACTTACACCTGCGTGAGCAAGAGAATGGATGAAAGGAGACACAGTTCCTTTTCTGCATGAAAAGCTTTCAGACCTTGGCTTCTCCCCTTGCTCCTGCATGTACCTCATACGCCTCTCTTTCCCCCCCACCCCTTCTGTGCGCTCGATAATCTTAAAATCGGCACTTTTCAAGTACGCATTTTAAACCTCCAGTCCGCAGTGACATGAGAAAGTTCCATGTAGAAAAGAAACAAAGCTAAACCAATTTTGAGCTTGCAAATGGCTTTGGTTTTATCCATATTTACCCCAAAAGAACCAAATGTGAAAGAGATACGGTGTGCAAAACCTTCAAAATACTGTCTGCCAGGGTGTGGGAGCTAGGTACTTGTGGGAATGGGGTAATAAGCTCAAGCGTGGGTAAGATCTCACTACCATCACTCCACAATCCTTAAAGAAAAGACAGTTCACCTATGAAGTATTTTACATCCATTTTTTACCTCCATCAGAGTAACTCAACAACTGTAGCTCTGAAGTAGTTTTAAACAACGTGGTTTGAGCTGTACCTTCTTTTTGGCAGGTTGCGAAGACTTCATTAGTTTTGTGTTTGAATTTGGAAAAAGTTTATGTTCTATGCACCTGACAGAAGATGAGATAGCTTTGTTTTCTGCGTTTGTTTTAATGTCAGCAGGTAAGAGATAAAGGTTTTCTCTAGGTTTATTTGGTAGAGGTTGTTTTTATTTTGAAGTCTCTTTAATGCTAATGTTAAGACTATTGGACAGTGTGAAATGTTGCCATCTTTTTGAGTGTCATCTTCTTGACAAAAAACTTTTATTTTAATAAACTCATTAAAACTATGAATTGAGGAATAAATTTGTTAAGTTAGAAATCCTAACCTAAGCCCTTGTTTTCCAAACTTTCACCTCATTGAGGACTCCAGCTTCTTTGCAGAAGCTTAAATGTGTGTGAGATGACTGGATGAATCTAGGTGAGACAGGCAGAAGGTAGCCCCTGAATTTACATAGTCAGCTTTCAGGGTCTATGAGCTTGCAGCTGTAGCAGAATCATCTCAAGCACGTGACAGAATGCTTTCAGGTCTGTTAAGTGAGGTTGCCGTTTTAGCGTCTACAAAGGTACCGAGGTATCTGTCCCCGTTGTGAAACTGAGTACACTGAGAATTGTGCTGCCAGACATACAAGTCTCACCCCAAGAGTCAGCCTGGGTCTACCATAGCCATGACTAAAATAACTTAATAATCTCAAGTAGATAGGCACCGTACTCCAGGTTCTGGGAAGGCTTACTAGGTCAGGCGAAATAAGATAGCAGTGCAGAAAGTCAGTCTGTGTCTGGCATAACACCCAGGGAAATAAATGCTCTGTTTTTAGACTGCAGCACAGTGGACTCTCGAGTGGAAGGGTCTGTTAGCAACAGTGGGTTTACTGAGACTATCGTGACTACGTTCTCAGGCCGTTGGCCAGATCAGAAGTATGTTAGCCCTGTGTCTTAGTATGTGAGCCACAAAATCCCACAGAATGCCGCAGTTCTGCCACACAGGGGATATAGCAGCTAATATTATTTTTCTGCTAGGAAGTTTAGGAGCTTTTTTTTTCTTTTTTTGATAGCTAAATATTTGTTTTCGATTTTTCTGTAGGTCACTGTAGATCTTAGCAAGAAGATCCACTCCAACTACTTGTTCATTATGTGATCTACTCCCCACTAAAAAGTTGCTAGCTTCATTTTGTAAATACCCTGCATTTCACAGATCTCGTTAGCAATGTTTAATAAATCTTACTCAGATACGCTGCATTCTTCTAATTAAGGGCTTTATAAAAGTAATTTTAAATGCATTATTTATAATAAATACACTCCAAAACCTATTAATTTTGAAATTCATTTTCTATATGAGAGTATGTAAGAAGTGGAAGGTTGCAAACAGGAAAGATGAGAATCTGTACCAGACTCACTACTTCCTGGTGCACTGTGATTGATGTGTGCAGCACTAGAGGTGTTAACTCCATTTATATTTAGATCGCTCATGGCTTCAGGAGAAAGTAAAAATTGAAAAACTCCAACAGAAGATCCAGCTAGCACTTCAGCATGTCCTACAGAAGAACCACCGAGAAGATGGAATTTTAACAAAGGTAAGAATCATACTCTGCCATGTCACATCACTGTGAAAGTATGCTTTCTTATGAACGGTATCCTAATTACGGTGTAAAAGCTTTTATGCAGTTAATTTGTTATTTATAAACCTGTAATTCTTTGTTCAAAATTGAGGTGCTTAGCTGAAACTATTTACTAAAAACTAGAAGAGGTGAAATGATGATGTATTAGGGAACAAGGCTGACAATGGTCTGAAAAGAAGTATTCGGATGTTGAACGTCATAAAAAGCAACGAAGGTTTTTATCCTATTTCTCCTACACAGTGTTTCTGCCACACAGAATACTGTTTCAGTTCTACAACATGCATACTTTAATCCTTGTGAAGCCTCTGTTTGCATGACAATTAAGTTATAACATGCAATACCCATACTAACCTTATTTTTCAGTCTTTCATGGGAGGGTCCCTACACAGCATTTTTCTCAGCAGTTCTTCCAAATACTGATGCCTAGGGAAAAGAGATACTGCATACTATTATGCTAATCTAAAGTATCTTCACGTAATTTTTAAAAAATGGAAAAGTGATGTGATGTTAAAAAAAAAAAAAAAAGTACATCTGAAGAACTGGGGAAGGACAGGCACTTCCTTACAGAGGTGGTTCCCTTTAGAACTCTGCACAGATGGAAAGCTTCTGCTTAGTTTCATGCCACAGAATTAATTGTAATAGAAGCAGGATGGTCCAGCCCAGGATTTGCGGGTTTTTCTTGTCTCAAGTGCTAGCTATTTAATTCTTTTCCAAGCGTATACTTCGGATACCTGTGTTGGAAGAAAGTTTATTTCATGTGCTTTGATACAAGCAATTTACTCAGCAAGTTCAGGGAGTACCCTGGTGCTATTTTCCTGTTCCTTTTCACATTATTTGGCATAAATTTAAAAAGCCTAACCTGTTTCATTGCCAGTTCCCTCCATAATATTCACAGTGGGTTTAAAAGTAGTCAGGACTGCCTTCTTCCAAGAGGATGACTGATGATCCAGCCATGAGATACTTCTGTATCAATCCAGTGCTTGGTAGGCAAGTGAGGAAACCTAATGATAAATTTTCCTAGGAACTTAAAGAAAAAATTATTTCACAAATAGCATTAATCTGTTATTTAAATAGCTTTTTAATGGCTTTTTTTTTTTTTTTAAATCTAACATAACAAACATCCGTGACTATGGGTCTGAAATGTCATTATTAAGGTAAACAACACTGAAGTGAACTCAAAAGTGTTTGGGAGAGCTTTAATCCTAAGAGCAAGATGGGGAGGCCTGGTTCCATATATGACTGTATGACTTCTGTTCATTTTTTTACAGTTAATATGCAAAGTGTCTACTTTAAGAGCACTGTGTGGACGACATACAGAAAAGCTTATGGCATTTAAAGCAATATACCCAGACATTGTACGACTTCATTTTCCTCCACTTTACAAGGAGTTGTTCACTTCAGAATTTGAGCCAGCGATGCAAATTGATGGGTAAACGTATCACCTAAGCACTTCTAGAATGTCCGAAGTACAAACATTAAAACAAAAGAAAGGAAAAGAAAAAAAAAAAAAAAGAAAGAAAACCAAGACACTTTATATGGCCCTGCACAGACCTAGGGAGCCAACACACTGCACATCTCTTGGCGGTCGGGGTCAGGCGAAGGATGGGAAACAATGAAACAAAGTTGAACTTGTTTTTCTCATGCATATGATTTCCATTATGCCTACAAATATGGACCCTTTTTCTGTCTCAGCTTCTCAATCCTTGACCTCTGTTTACACAGACTGAGGGTACTAATGTCAGAAGGTTGTTTTCTCCTGTAGTTCACTGCCCAGACTTTTGACAGAACAATCAATTTGTTGATCAGAACAGAGAGTCCATCTAGTAATCAGCGACTGGTGTGCATTGCAGAGATTTCAGCATCAGTTTGCACAACTTGCTCATTGTTTCATGAAGGACGATTTTTCTCACCTACCACTGTTTGCCAGTAGACAGAACGGCATGAAAAGGGTCCATAGCAATAGCAACAATAGCATTATAATATATTACAGGGTAAATGGGCATGAAGACTATATATAGCAAAAGAGATATTGTTTATATATTGTTTTAATTAATATAAAATGTAGTTACTGGTATAGCTTTTCTTGTTGAATTGATAAGGCACTTTCATTTTGCACCTTTTTCTTTAAATTAAATGCTAGCGTGTTCATTGTTGTGTTGCATGTGCACCAGAAATTCAAGTTTAACTGAAAAAAGTTTGGCAGGTACTGGTACGTTGGGAGGTATTTATGCTGCTGTTTTCCATGTTACTTTTAAAGAGAGGCTGGTCATATCCTGAAATGGTTACAGATTTTTTTAAAGAGTTGAAAATAATGACAGTTTTCTAAATTAAAATCAGCTTTTAAGCTGTTAAATTCAAAGGTACTTTTATTTTCAAACCTTTCAAACCTGGATGTTTAAAATTACATGCCTAAATTCAAATTTAGGTGCACAAGTCAGGAGCCTCATTTTCAAAGGTGCTGAGCTTCCGTCGTTAAAGTTAAGCTAAGCAATGACAGATCATTTACAAGTGAGTAACAACAGCATCCTTGAAAATCAGGCTATTAAATAAAGTGTGTTTCTGCTCACTGTAAATCCAGATTTGAAGGTATTTACTCAAGTCTGTATCTACAGTAAAAGTATGTGTGTATGACACGTATGTGGAAAAGTAATTTTTATACAGAATATTACATACTTTTGTACTCCATATCGTAAACAATGCCTTCAAACTCCAAACTCTAGCCTATCAAAATCCACAGGAAGTTTGGCTCTGACTTCAAGTGAGATGAGACACCGACCCATGTTCTTCCAGCATCCAGCAGTTCACTTTCAGGTAGCTGAACAGAGAAGCCCATTGCTCTCCTTATTTAAAAAGATGCACTTTATCAGATGAGGACAGACTAAGTAAAAGTAAAGGCACACTGTTGCTAGAAAGCACGTGTTTTGTGCTCTGTAGAATACCTAGAAACTATTAATATCATAAATCTGCATTCTGTAATTCTGAAATTGTGATTCCCGTATTGCATAACCAACCAGTAAGCCGAATCTTGCAATCTTTATTAATTACCATTCCTTTTAGGAAGAATACTGTCTCTCAGCAAATTTGGCAAGTAAACCTAGTTCTGAAGGAAGCAGATACACAATAAGCGACATCACAAAATAAACTCTGACTGTTTGAGACAGAGGTGCATAGTTGGTTTGGATGAGATGAAAATGTGTAACTGGGTGCCTTGTAGGCCTACGCAAATGAAGTTTCTGATGAAGTACATAAGAAAAAGGAACGAGACAGAATGTGCTCCACTGTTTTAATTTCCAAGGATATCCAATCTCTTACGTATATTATAGTCGCTGAGAAGTAACACAAGTGAACAGAAGCACACGGAAGCCTAACTATTTTAAAAAGGAGAATTAGTTGAGTGCGTTATGAGCAAAGCAGAGGTTTATTCTATGATTTGAACATGTTTCCTTTAGGGTCAAGTTGTGACATTTAGCTGGGACACCTATTAAAAATTTTACAGTCTGCCGCATCAGAGAGGCTTACAGCTATCACTCATCTCTCTGGTTTGAAAGGAGGGGGAGATGAGCATCGTATGTTTCCCCTTCAAAGCAGTATGCCCCGGAGTATGGGAGGGGAGCACCTGCACCTCCCCGAGCACCATGACGGAGGCATGAGAGGGCTTTTGGAGAAAGTCCAGAGCCCTCCTTTTACTGCTCCATCCTGCCAGCTCCCGAAGAGGCAGCTCACTGCCCAGCACATACTCTCTCCAGTCCCACTGAAACACTTTTCCTAGAATCATTGTTTACTTTATTGGAGTAACTGGCACGATATGGTACTTTCATTCTAATGTGTGTTCCTATTTTTAAAGCAACCCTTTTAACTAACAAATGTTTTCTGAATGTGACCAGCCTTAGGTGCTAGTCCTGTAAAGATCAACTAAACTTAATTTCAGTGTCAACTAATGAAGTAAGACCTGTACGTTTTTAGAGCACAAGATGCAACTCCTACTTCTGACAATAAGTAGACTACCAGGCAAAATATTTTGGGATTAATTTTCAGTCACATCCTTTTCTTACCTTTTCCTGATGAATATTAGTACTCTACCAGGCATCTAGGTGCCAATGGTTTTGTTTGGTATCTAGTTCAGCATATTTACACCCGTAAGTCATAGACAACGCAGATTTTTGGAGCATTTCCTAATGAAATACATAACCATAAGAAGGTTCCAGATAGGGCCTTAGCTGAAAGCTCTTGGCATCTGAAAACAGCCTGTGACGTGATCATCCAGGCCAGAAAGCGCTGTCAGTTTTGTCCATGGGAGCTCCTGTGTACTGGCACCTTGTTAAATCAGGCTGTGCATACATACCCAAGTAAGTCTGCTTTCCTGATCACAGTTAACAGCCACTTGGCAATAGAGTATTAGTTTTCTTTCACTCTTCATAGAGAGGGGAAAAAAGGGCTACGGCACGGCAGACGTACTGGTGAGACTTCTGTTGCCAAGGAGGCTTTTATTAAGGGGATGTAGAACAACGTCAGAGTGGCTGTGTAAGAGCCCAATGCAGCAGAGGTAACGCGCTGTGCAGAATCTCTGGGCTGGTTTCAGATGATCAGCCAAACATTCAGTTAAAAAATATAATCGAGGTCAACAGATATTCCCATGAGCACTTTCATAATCTGCCCAGCTTGCTACAAAAAAAAATGAGGATAGCTGAATATCAAATAATATATCGGTTCTGAATGATCTGTTCCTTAAAGTCTGCAAAGAGATTTTCAGTGGGTGTTTTATCTATCCACAGAGATGTTTTCTGGCCTTCTAGGAAAGAGATGCTATACTATACGGTCATTTGAACCACCCTAATACACTTCAACATCTCCAGCGTTGTTTGATGTTTTAAAAAAACTGCGGGATTAGGTGAAAAGGGAGGCTGGTTTTAAGTTTGGTTGTTCTTTATTAAAGCTTATCTATCTTAGTATAGATAGCAAGATGTCTGTGTGTGTATGTGCACCTGTGTGTATGAGGAATACATTTGCGTGCGCACATGAATATATGCGTGAGTACGTGTGAGTGGCTGCTTCTAGGCTGTTAAGTGTCAATGGAATAAAGATGATGTATTCAAAATACTTAAGTCAAAAATAGAAGGTGGAAAAAAGATTTATTCTATACAAAGCCTTGTCTGGACCACTTTAGAGAGACTTCTATTTTTTTAACCCTTCTATAAATGTTTGATGGCACTTGAAATATTCCTGCAATAAAATGTGATTTGTGTAAACATTAAAAAAAAAAAAAAGATTTTGTAATGTGAAACAATGAAAGAAAGTAATGTAATTTTTCTAAAAAACAAAAAAAAAAAACGACAAACGAACGAACTTTGTATTATTTTCTTGATGGATCTTGTCTATTTGTCTTTGGAAAACTTTTTATTTCATTGAATGTGCCATAGTAGAGATGTGTTTTTCTTTTTCTTTTTGGTTTTTTTTACATTTTAGATTAAAGGAATAGCTGTGTTCCGACATTCCAAAATGCAAGATGACATAGCAGTCATGATTAAAAGGTTTGATTAGTAAGCTTCAATCATTGTTGCTTTTTTTGCACATGTTCTTCATTCCTCTACAGTGCAATATGTACATAGAGCACTTGCGGGTGTAACCTTGACCCCTCAGGGAAAAATACATATTTGTACAGGATTTTTCTTTTTTCCTTTTTTTTTTCCTTTTCCTTTTTTTTTTTTTTTTTTTTTGCTAAGGAATGTCGATTGAATCACTTGTCTGTTGTTGAGGGGCAGCCAGATAATAATCCTAAACCACTGTCACAAAATACTGATTGTTTAAATTTTGTGCCCTTTTATTATTTAAAAAAGAAAAATAAAAGTTATTTTCTGACAGTTCTTTGTGCTGATTGGTGAAAAAAAGGGTAAATAGATAAGCACCTTATGATTGACTTAACTGTGAATGACAATCCATCTCGTTACCAACAATATAATTTTGGAGCTGGGGTTAAGAGTCAGAAACTAATGTGCTCAGGGATCTTCTAAAACTCTTCAACAGGGTGGCCAGTACTACTGGTGGAACAAATTACTTCAAAAAAATATGCTAGTGTTTCTTCCCTTCCCCCCCTGCCCCCAGGCACAAGAGAACTGGATATTTTTTTTAACGAAATGCTCTATGCGTGCCTCATTCTCTTACTCAGTTTTGCAGTATAGCTGCTTCTTGGTCTTTATTTTGTTCAAAACAAAAGTACTGCAAACAGTGCAAAGGTTTTGCAGTTCTATTTTAGAAAATAAATTAATGCTGACCCATTAAATGAATGATTGAAATTAATTTCAATACTCTCTGGACATTTTTATAATGATAGGACTATTTTTGCAGCTGAATTTCAGTGTTTTGCAATAGAAAAGACGTTTTCAGTATTTAAATTACTGTCAAAGAACACAAATCAGTTTATGATAGTACAGTAATAATGAAAAGGTAATGATTAGGTTTTGGCAATGAAGTCATATAAAAAGGACCATAGACCTGCAGGAGTACAAGCACAACAGTCCAGACGTTGTCTGTCAGTGTTGCATACGCTTCATGGTAAAGCAAAAAACCTGACTGGAAAGAAACACTGAGGCTTAAGACATTTTCATGTCTAGTACATCAAAACAGCAATTCCAAATGACTACAATGGCACCAATAACCAGCAATGTCTAGGAAGTCCCCAGGTGCCAAACTGTAGGATTCTGGAAGCCTGTCTCAATTAGCCCTGTTTTATGGCTTAACATTCTTTTGAAAATGCAAGTAGGAAAGTAAACGAGCAACTACTAACAAAAAGAGCAAGATTTCAACACTTTTGTTCGATTGGGAAGAGAGTGAATTTCTCCATCAAACATGTCTGTTGTCCTGCAAAAAGCATCAGTTGCCCGGTATCTTAGGTTATTGAGGGTTTTTTCACTGGGTATATGGCTTCCAGTTGTTTACTTTAGGTTGCTTAATAAATAGGGAAATCTTTCTTATGGTTTTACATGCTGACGGTCAAGTTTAGGATGGAATGGCCTTCCAAGGCAGGCAACTGCTTAGCGAGTATAACTTCTTGACCAGTTCGTGGTCTGGCATCTTCAGTAGAAGAAAATTCCTATTGGTGATTCACAGTAGAACCTATTCTTTACGTGCTTGCATATCAGTTAAACATACTGTTAATATGTACAACCTATAAGATGTTTTAATGATATAGTGGGGTGATCCAAACATTACAGTATCTTTTTTTGGATTGGCATAGACCTTCCCCAGCCTGTACTTGATGAACAAAACAGGTTGCACAGTATAAGCTGTGCACGCAAGCAATGTCTATTTTTTTTCTATACACATTCCTGAACTCCCCAATGTAGATAAACTTACTAAAATAAATGTCAGAAACAGCATTTACTATCCAATATCCAAAAATAAGAAGCCATTTTCTCTTGAGTATTCGGTATATGAAATTCTATCTGTGCTAGCTGATTCAGATTACACAGAAGAAACATCTTTATTTTCCTTAGCTGGAGAAATATAACTATTAGAATTATTTTTTCACTGTTAATACTAATATTTATTACTTTAAAAGTTTCATCCATGAATATATTTGAGTATTAGCTTCCTGTTTCCTTCATGCTTAAATACTTCTGTCATTTGGTGGAAATGAGGGAAAATGCATATGGATACCAAATACAACAACAAAAAGAAAAGTTTTAAATTTACATGAGTATTTATTTTAAAATCATTGCAGTATGTGCTTTAATCCTAGTACTGTGATAATAGCTTGCTAAACAACGCTAAGTCACTGGACTTGAGGGGGAAAATACGTAACATTTTAGATAATATACAGTCTATCTTTGGAACTTTATTCAGGTACTAAATAGAACTTTAACATCAAAATAAAAGCTGTATTCTA